TTTCTAGATTCTGTGAGTATTTCTTTAGATTCACTTACTTTTAAGAAACATTTGTGTGTTAATAAGTCTAAGATTTCTTTATAATAATTAATCTTTAATATTTAAATTTTCGAAATAATGCGATTCTTTAGATTTTTGTGAATTTATTATAGAATTCTCAAAATTTATCAGTGAATTCTTAGATAACTAGAATTTTTTGATGTCTTAGATTAATGGACGTTTTGAGAATTCTCAGATTTCTGAAGTAGGTACGGGAATTCTTGTTATTTTTCAAAATTTTTTGAATTCATTGTTTTGTAACCCACTTTTGAGTTGGTAAAAATTAGCAAATTTTAAAAAATTTCCTCCATTTGCACAATGACCAAAACTTCATTTTATTAACTTAATTGCCAATACACGGCGATTTTGGGGCTTTTATAACCTCGTGATGATTTTTTTTATTTTGTTTTATTTTGACTGATTTGGAAAATTTGTGTTTAATTTTTAAATCTTTGAAATGAAATTGAAAATTGATTATATATTTTTTTAATATTACACAATTAATAATTCAGATTTTTTTATTTAAATTAAAAAAAACCTTTTAACAAAAAATTCAAAAAAATCTCGCATATAGGGTAAGTCCGGGAGAGATAGACCACATTTCAAAAATCTACTGTAAAATTAAGATCTGAATTTCAACACAAACCACGAATATTTTTTCTCATTTAAGCCAACAAAAGTAACAAAATAAAAAAAACACATTTGTTTACGGAACTATACAGGCTGTCAATAAAAACTCGAAATCATTCTCACTTAAAAAAATACAAGTTTATTTTATTACGGTTAAACAAATAACTAAGAAAAATTGTTAACTATATTATTAAATAATTTTAGGCCATGGACTAGATTTTAAGGTCACTAATAGACTTTTTCAACTCGCTGGGACACCCTGTATGTATCCTCCCCGCTGGCCCACCTCTCCCGACTTTACCCTACACAAACCAGAAACAACATCAAATAACTACATTGTATTTTACAACTTTTATTTTATTTTTTTGATTACTGGACTCAGAAATTAATTAAATTAAATGTTCAGAATTCATAGTTTTTGAATCTATGTTTTTTAAATGCCATAATTTTTTTGTGTTAGAATCTGAAAATATTTTAGATCGCTAAATTTTTCTTCTTATCAAACTTAGATTCTCGGAATTTTTGAGATTTCTGATTTGGTTCTGAATTTGTTAATTCCCGGATTTGATATGTTGTTTTTTAATTTCTGAAAATTGAAAAAAACGTAAAAAAATGGCATTCTTGGACTCCTTAAATTCTTTAACTTCTGGATTCGACAAATAAAATTTCCGACAGCTTGAACTTTGTAAATTTTTGAAATTTTCATACATTTTACTCAAGTTTTAAAAACCTTAAAATTGCTCAAATAATTTCTTAATTCTTTCTTTTGGTTTCTTTCATTTTTAATTAGAATTCTCAAAATTTTCAAAATAGTGAATTTTTACATTCTTAGAATTCATTTCCTAGATCGAGAACTTGGAGTTCTCAGATGTTTAGGATTCATTACCAGAATTCTTGCAAAAAAAAATTGAATTTAGTGTTTTGTAACTCTAAAAATTTTGAACAAAACACAGCGATTTTGGGGCTTTTATAACCTCGTGATGATGATGAGATTTTAATTTTGTTTTATTTTGACTTATTTGGAAATTTTGTTCCTGAATTGGCAAAAATTGCAAAATTTTAACCGTCTAAATATAAAAAAAATATTTAAATCGATTGTTTTAAATTTTATTTTTTTTTCCGAAACTTTGTGTGGGATATTTTCTCCACGTCACACTTACATGACAAATAATTATTATTATTAATAATTTTTTTTGACAACTTTTCTTATTCTCAATTTACAAAATTTATTACAAAACTTTTTACTCATTTTTTTGAAATATTGCACAATTAATAATAATTCAACAAAAAATTCAGAAAAATTTCGCATGTAGGGCAAGTCCGGGAGAGATTTTAAAATTTTAAAAATCTGCTGCAAAATTATGATCTCAAACCACGAATGTTTTTCTCATTTAAGCCAACAAAACTAGCAAAATAAAAAAAAAACATTTGTTTACGTAACTATACAGTTTAATGTTTAACGCTAAATATCTTTTTAGTTATTGTTTATAAACACCTAAAAGTAAATAATTTTAGAAAGACAATTTAACAATCTTTTAAATGCAAAAACAATAAATAGGGTGTTCCATTTAAATTTTTAAAGTTATTGAAGTTTTAACAAACGCCTTTTTTATCTTTGCAAATGCAACACACTAAAAAAATGTTACAACCTTATAGCTTGTACCTTCATCTTTGCGGTAGTAAAAAAATATTTCTAAATGTCTTAGTTTTAGTGTAATAAATTTTTTTAAAGTGTATGTTTGAGTCAAAAAAACCGTCTTATTTTTAAAACTAAACAAAATCGACCAATAAAAGTTTATCTAAAACCTAAAATCTATCTAAGAAACATATGGTGTTTCATTTAAAAAAACACAAGTTTGTAATGACTTTTTTGAGACACGTTGAAAACAATTTTAATCGATGGACTAACTAAAATAAGCTTCAAAAATAAATGTCGATTTTAGAAATTTTGATGAACTCAAGAGACAAAAATACAAAATTTTTGGTACTATTAGCAAAAAATGAACAGAATTTGACGTTTTTGTCAGAAACTCAATTATTTTGCGAAATGTTGTTCTCAATAATCTAAAATGTCATCAAATTAAGCTAGAAACGACATCATTTTTGTATTTTTCTTAAAGTTTTGGCACATTTCTCAGTTAAAAACGTCATGGTTTTCAGTATTATTTAACCCGTGAAGTATCAATAAATCAATTTTTTTCATAGTGTTTAGCACGTTTTTTAGGTAGGCTATTTATTAAAAATTGCGTCTAGAATAATTTGAAAACTCGGTCAAAAATCTCTGATTTCGAGGAATCTCTTCAAAAATAAGCTGAAAAATCACCAAAATTTGATAATTTGTAATCAAATATGGATTTTAGAAATTTTGATGGACTCAAGATACAAAAAATGAACAGAATTTGATGTTTTTGTCAGAAACTCTATGATTTTGCGAAATTTTCTCTTAAATAATTCAAATGTCATCAAATTAGCCTAGAAATGACATCTTTTTTGTATTTTTTTTATAGTTTTAGCTCGTTTCTTGGCCATAAACATTATTTCGAGGATTTTTTTAGAAATAAGCTGAAAACTGATTAAATTTGGTCGAAATTGGTGTTATTTTAGCTTTTTTTGAAGGTTTAAACAAGTTTTTGAGATAAAAACTAGTCAGATTTTGCTAAACCTGGCCTAAAAATTAATAAATTTTGTCGAAAATAACACTATTTTTGATTTTCTTGAGTGGTTTATTACGGTTTTTAGCTAAAAACGCAATTATGGTCAAAAAATATGCCGAAAAATCGTTATTTTTTGCAAAATAAAATAAAGATTTTTTTTTAACCTGTAATTTTATATCGAGCGATCAAGATAAGATACCAAATTATCTTGATCGCTCAATAATTTGTAAAGATATAAATTTTAGAAATTTTTCTGGAGGAAAAGACAAGAAAGAAATGAAAACAGAATTTGACGTTGATTTTATCAGTTTTAAAACATTGTAAGTGTTTCGACAAACGTTAAAAAATAGCGTCAATTTATCATATTATTATATCTTTTTTTGAGTCATTATAATAATATGCCAATCGCGAGTAATATTTGTTTTGTTTAATTACTTGATTACTTGTCCCATACATTTTTTTTAATTTCACCATTTAAAGGTCACTAATGGACTTTTTCAACTCGTTGGGACACCCTGTATGTATCCTCCCCGCTGCCCACCTCTCCCGTCCTTACCCTACACAAACCAGATAACTGCATTGTATTTTACAACTTCCGCTCGTCTTAATTTCCCTTTATTCTTTTTTGCTCACACGCTAATTCGTCCGCTACAATTAATTAACCAAATTAACTCGAACTTGTGTTAATTAATTACGTGAATCACCCGAAAACCGTGTAAAAACCGATCGAATCAATGCAAAAGCGACCTCTCCTCGGGGTAAGCCCACCTGCATCAGCCTCAAAAATCACACCGAGAGCAAAACACAACAACAGCAGTCCACTGCTCCACTCGCGAGGCATGTTGGCGGAGCTCCGCCGAAGAACTGAGGATCTGTTGGAGGTCTTCATATGACACGCTTGTGCCCGGATTATCGCGAGGAGGAAGAAGCAAACAAACAGTGAGCCTCGGCGAGAATTTTAATTGTGACAAATTGGACAAAAACGGGTGAAAGTGATAACGCGTGATAAGGCAAGGGGGCGCCCTTATGGTGTGTGTGACATTCGAGTTCGGGGAAATTGAGGAAACTTGTCCGACTGGTTGTCTCGCCGCGCTTTGTACTCTTCACAATTGACACCAGAGGTCCCGTTACTCCCATCATATCGGGTGATTTGAATTTGATTCTTGCACAGGTGGCGACGGATAACAGTACAACATTCTCATACGAGGCTTTATTGCAATAAATTGCTTTATTCTGAAAAAAAAAATAGAAATTTTTTTTTTAAGCGCCGGGTTTTAGGCAACCAATTATACAACGCCAATTGAAATTATTGTCAAATAATTGCGAACGGGTTGTTGGTGAAATGTGTGGTAACAAATGGTTTTATTGTTGGGTTTTAGACACTTTTTGGGGGAAATGTAAGGGAGAAATGTTTTTACTTTGTTTTGGGTTAGGCAACCAATAATACAACGCTTGCAAAAACAGTTTTTATTTGCTAAAATCATTACGTTATGCTAAATATAAGGATTTTTTTGGCTTTAGGCGACTTTGTTTGTTTTATTTTGTGTGTCAGTGGGGCGGATTACAAATCGGATTGCAAATTTAGAAATTTTCCAAAAAAATTTAATTTATTTTTAAATTAACTAATTGATACAAACAGCATTTTCCAGTTTCTCAAAGTTTTAGATTAATTTTATCGTTCTTAAATTAGTTTCAAGATTCATATTTTTACAAATTTTTGGATCAAAACTGCATTCAAAAAACTTCTTTTTAGATTTTAAACAAACTAGTCACAATTTTTGATTTTTGTAAATTTTGTAACATTGAGAATTTTTCGTTAATTCATTTGGATTTCTCAAATTTTGGACAATCTAAATTTTTTTGATTTCTAGAATTAAATTTTATTTTTCGCGTCTTTCAATTTTTACATTTTTCTACAGTTTAATTTCATGAATCTTTGAGTTTTTAATTCTTAAAAAGTTTTAGGATTTAGTTTTGTTGATTTGAAGTTGTGAAATTTTTTGGATCATATCTGAATTTTTTGCTTTTTTCGATTTTTTATACACATAGTTCAATTTTGCATTTCTAGATTCGTCAGAATTTCTTGATTCTTGATTCAATTTCTTTGATTACTGGACTTTAAATCTAGAATTTATTTAGGATTCTTATTTGCTTTTAAAAATTTTTAAATGCTATAATGTTTTTAAATATAAATGTTTTAACTTGCTAAACTTTTGATTTCTTGAATTACTATAAAAATATATTTTTGCATTCCTGGTTCCTATCAAATCTAGATTCTAGGAATTTTTAAAATTTCTGATTTTGTCAATTCTCGGACTTGACATGTTTTGTTTTTTAATTTTTCAGATTTTGGAATTCTTAAATTCTTTAATTTCTAGATTCGACAATTAAAATTTCTGAATTCTTCTAATAGAAATTTTTATATATTTAAGAATCTCTCTCTGAAATTCGTCTAAATTCAAGATTCTTAAGTTTTAAAAACCTTAAAATTGTTCAAATAATTTCTTAATTCTTTCTTTTGGTTTCTTAGATTTTTTGATTCCTTGACTATTAAAATTTCTGCATTTTATAATTTTTGTTTTACTGGAATTTTTAAAAAAAGCCTTTTGGTTTATTAAATTCTTTTAAAAATAAATTAGTGAATTTCTTGGTTTTTTGCACACCTTGGATTTCTGAATTATTTATTTTTATAGATTTCTGGATTCTGTTATTAGGGTTTCTGAATTCTTCAGATTTCTCATGACGTAAACCCTCTATAATAATAAAATTTTATTAACGCCCAAAAAGCATTAACGATATAATCAATAAAACAAAAAATAATAATTTATAGCTTCTGTGAATATTTGATTTTTGGAATTTTTTAAAGAATCTTTAAATTCACTTATTTTTAAAAAATATTTGTGTTGTGTAGTTTTTTGTGCAAATTTTCTTGAAATGCATTATTTCTGTATAGAATTGTAAACCCGGAGCTACTTCCAGGTCTCTGCGATTTTATAAAT